TACGGAACATAATACGCCGTCTTTTTTATCAGTGGTTCAGTATGCAAGTACCTATATTACACTGATTTAAGGAAAAAGGGCGAAACGTCCATAAAGACAATTTTATCCTTAGGACCAAACTCAGAAATACGATCCAAGAACAGGTGAAAATCAAAGTTGCCGAGTGTTATTTGGAAACAACCACAGTAAACATTAATTTCATAAAATTTAGTTATCACAAGGCACAAAAAATACACATGAAAATTTTGAGGATGAGGTTACTGTCTGCTACCGCAGGAATGTGTTGAATGCCCATGCAAAGTCTGTATTAACATTAGTTAAAATTACAGGAAGATTTACTGCGTAAACTAACTTACGTATAAGAAAATTAATCTTTAATAAGGGTTTAGAAATTCATTAGATCTGTGTGGAGAGAGGTTACATGACTCCTTGGAGCAGTATTTCTTGATAAGCTTCGTACACTCAGCTAGACAAGAAACCTAGATTCATTATTTTTTCATAGGAGTGCACCACATAACCCTGGTCTGAATTAGATGAATCCACTTCACACCCCGAAACCGTATCCCTAAGATTGATTTTATATCATTATTCCATGTACGTCTAGGTATTTGGAGTGGTCTCTTCCGTTCAAGCTTTCCAACCAAAATTTTGTAAGCATTTCTTTTTTCCACCATAATTGTTACCTTGATTTCATCACCGTAGTAATATTTGATGAAGAGTGCAAATTAAAGAACTCGTCATCTTGGAATTGTCTTCACACTCCAGTAACTTCAAACCCTCTTAGTTCAGATTAAATTTTATGATAAAAAAACAAGGAGCTTCTTCATAAACAACTCCTTAACTGATCATAATATTAAATTTAATGACATTTCTGCTGATATTTTTTGCGTGGAAAAGAAACTAAGTACTAGAATGCTCCGTGTAGTGCAGATTATAAAACAAATAACTTAATCCACCTTCGTGACGGTTTGTTCATTTGATTTCTTTAACGTACATAACATTCATTCTTCCTGGTAGGTTCTTCTTTATAATGTGTTGATTGTTCCGTTTAGCAACAATGACCAATTTCAGGACCAAATTCATGTACTATTATAACAAGTCATGTAGCATAGTTACTTACGTCAAAATTGCGTGCATCACCTCGTCGAGGAGGTGCGTTTCTTCGAAGTGGAATGGCCAACGAGCTGCCTCGCAGATGCTTCTGAGGACACACGTTCGGCCATGAAAGCCGTAGCCTTCAAGAAATGATTCAAGAGGGACGTAAATGCTCTGTAGGGTCGTGTTGGATACTTCCCTCTTCGACATTATGTCTGGTGATGTATGCCACATCGTTGCGTTTGTTGGTAAGCCGAAAACTAACTGAATTCCCAAGGAAATGAGGACCGTCCTATTTGGGGCACTCACTGGAGTCGATATTCCAATAGTCATCTGAAAAAGAAATTAAATTTTGCGCTGTTTTCATGTGTCGCCTTATCGGTTGTGACGCCATGTCGTCTTGTAGGTGGTTAACCAACGTTTCGAAGGAGCATATTTCCTCCATCTTTAGCGTAAGGAGGCGTCGCGTACAAGTGCACACGGCATCAGAAAAAAGAAGATAACTAATTCATACTCACCGCTGTAAAAATCTCATATCTCTGCTGCAATGCCAATTTTTGTCTCGCATTTCTTTCTTTCATTCTTGTACATGTAATTCATTTTATTATCTTTTGTTCTTTCTTTTCCGCCTTTCATTTTATTACTGCTTTCTGAGAAGGGAAAGCATTTGGCATACTCAGAATCTAACGATCGTCCTTGGAATTTCACACTAAAATGAACTGTACAGATTGTATCATATCTGATGCTTATTTGAAAAAAATGGAAAATACTTGATCGCCTTCTGTTCACTTTTTATCGTAGGCTACATGGAACTGTGTTGTTTGGGTATATGGTTTAATTAAAAAATTTAGATGTGTTTCCAAAAAGATATTATCATGTTCTGTCTCAACCTTTAAACTCTTATAATTTTAAAGCTGTTAACTCATATCCACTGGGAATTAGTGTAGGATACAAACCCTTATGAATAATAGACACGAAACATCCGCTGGCCGTTTAGGTGTTTGTAGAGCGTCGGACAGGCCTACGCTTGGAAAGGAAGACTGACATACAGAAATGAAGGGAACTTTATTCGAACCCACAGTGAACTTGACAGCACAAAATCGATTTATTTTGTGATGTCAATCCTTCCTCTGACATGATAAATTAAAGCTCAGCATCCGTCATGCAGATAAGTACTTAAATATATGAGCAAGCATGTAAAATATATATATGAGATAAACATTTACAAATTTAAAAATGGTATATCAGAATAGTCATGTATCCTTTCAGAATGGGATGACTGGATTCACAGACGCACTGAGATAACAGCGATGCTTCACTAATAAATCCATGTTCAAGTAGAATTTGAGGTACTCACTTCGGTGAGCACGAAGATGGCTGCCTTCTAGTGCAATGTAGTCTGGTAGAAGTTTACCATTTGAGAGGCCCTTGCCCTCTGTATCCATGGCGCTGATCATAGAGGCAGCAAAGACTTATGAAACGCTGGTAAACTTTTACCATACTACGCGGCGCAACAAACCAGAAGACAGCTATGTTAAGTAAAATTCTGATGCATATTCTATCATACAAGTTGTCTGTCTCGAGAAACACCGCAACGTCAGGTTAACGATTTGGTTTCTAACAAGTTCAAAGTTTACCGTAAGTGGATATCGGATATCCAATAAGGATCTTTTATTAGCCAGGATGTTCTAAGATAGACAGACAGACTAACGTGCAATCTGAATGCCGTTATTCGCGTAGCCTATTATGGTCTATTATGTGGCTATAATGAGTATATGCGTTCGTTTCAGGGCTCCTTGCTGCCTCCATCATTAGGGCGATTTGTACAATGTAGATTGTTTTTAACATGTTGTCGTTTTTCTGGGTTCTTACAAGAAAACTTTAAATTCGAAGACGGATACACAACAGTCTCTTTAACGCTTGAAATTCCAACGAAGTGTGTATTTCAACGTACCTGCATTACTGCTCCAGATGTGAACACCAAGACTCGACGTTCTCGATGTAAAGATTTTCCTTTGTTCGTGTCGTGTGAAAGGGTCATAGTGGTTACCAGGAACAATACGGCGGTGGTAATGGCGAACAGTGTTTCTTGTAGCGTCGCCATTCGGTGATATCGCAAGTAACTCTAACAGCATGGGCAATATTCTCGTATGCGAGGTGAATTCTACTTCAAGTTTGCATTTAACACCAGTTAGAACGTTTCGCAATTAACTGAGACTTATTAGCAAATACTAGTAAGAATTCGCCGCAGTTATTAACAGTAAACATTAGTAAACACTAGCGTATATATTTTAGATTGTCTAAACCTTTTCCACAGATTTAGAGCAGGCGACGTATTTCTGGCAGGGGGGAGAAGTGACCTTCAGCTTTCTAGTACAATTTTGTCGTAAAATCAGATTTCACTTGGAGTACTCACATATACGTATGTATAAAGAAAATAAATTCCAGAAGCAATGAAAGAAGTAAAGCTATTTGCGTTTCCCAATTTTGTATTTTATATTTCTGTATTTCGATGTGTTCTTTTCACAATACCACGATACGTTCCTTTTTTTTTACAAACAGTTCGCTGAACAATTTACTACAGTAACTTCTGAAACGTCGTTTATATCACACTCCTTAGGGCCGTTTCACACTGTCAACCGGTCGCCGGCGACCCAGTCGCTGAACGACCAAAACCATCAACGACCAAACGAGGAGACCAGCAGGGCGACCAGCGCAGACAGAGGCCTGAGCCTCATTACTTTGGAAGCAGTCAAGCAGTATGGACATCGAGGAGATCACTATAATGATAAAAATTCGTTCCACTAGAAACAGAAAAAAGAGGAGTAGAAAACACTCTTCCCACAGACTTTTTCTCAACTCCCTGTTTGCATAATCGGGACTTGCAAGGTCCGAAATGGCTCTTCGTGACTCTACGGCCGAAATAAATCTTTCGGTATCAAAACTCATGATCTACTGATCACTTGAGTGACATGAACAAGACGGGAGAAAACAGGAAACAATGGATATGTCTCCTCTCTGAGCTCTGGTCGCTGACTGAGTCGCCCGCAATGTGAACACGTGATTGCCATCAATGTATATCGTGGTCGTTGGTCGCTCACGTCTTGTTGGTCGACGGCGGACATTGGTTGCGGTCGCTCTCGTGTGTAAGCTCGTACTTAGCTTTTCTACCTAGTGGTCGTTCAGCGACTGGTCGCCGGCGACCGGTCGACAGTGTGAAACGGGCCTAAGACAACGGATGATGTCAACTGTTGTTACAAGAATCGGAGGAAAGTTTACGAACTGTAAATATTTAGAGAAGCACTGACGAGCGTTTGTGTTACGAGTTGTGGCCTTTCATTGACTTTAAAATGAGGTTTACTGTGAGTAACCACATGTATCAGCTGCTTCAGAACAACCGAATAATAAAGAATGGTAAAATTGTATGTGAAATTAAATCATTCGTGGAACGGTGCTCTGTAACAGTTGCTGAAGGCGAAATCTAAGAATATTTTTACGTAATCTGAGCCCTTGTGGACTAGTGGATCTAATGCAAATAATAATCTGTGTCTAAATAGTGTGTGATTATTTTTGAGAATTATGAATAGTGAATTATTTTGCATTGTAAAGGAAGAAACTTTGGCCTATTTTAATTGTTATTTATTATGAAGGATCTGAGAAATTGGTTGAAAAAATTTCACATCCCGTGCATGACGTTAAACTGCGTCCACAGACCGAGTGACCACCGGTATAAGTGGTCCCCCTCTACCGAGTTCCAACAGCCTTTTCGGAGCGTGGATGAGCGGGTGGAGGTTCAGGGAACCCTCATGCCCTTGGGGTGAGAAATCACCCCTAGAAGCGGATGAACCCAGGTGGGTCAACGGCATAGGATGCGGAAGGCAAGGGGAATCCACCGCATTAAAGATCCTCACGATTTCCCAAGTATCAGCAGCTCAAGAGCTGTTGCCAACCAATCCTAGGATTGATTACAAAAGAAGAAGAAGAAGAAGGTGTCCTCGTCTTATATCAGCAAACTAAATTTGTCGCCCTAAAAGTTGGTGCATCAGCAGATCTGCGAATTTTCGTTGGTGATTACAGTAATAATACAAGCAGAAGCACTGACTGAACGATCGTGATATTTAATCTTTTGCAACTGTGTTCTGTAGTCGAATACATAGGCTACATAGAAAATGTTGTATATGCACCATAAACTATTCTAGATTCTTGATAATTTCCATGATAAAATGCATAACTCTGAAACCAGACATAAACTCCTAATCCCTACCCAACGCACAATCAATGCATAATAGAAAATATACTAAAAAACAATATAGCTCTAAGATTAACAATAACTTCAGAGCTTTAAGACTGGTGTTATAATTGTTAGAGGTAGCCCCAGAGTCGTTTTATTCCTAAAATATTTCGAAATATATTTTTTGCGAGATATAATCCAGAGGAGACAGAGGGCAGTCCTGGTATGCAGCTCCACAATCACCGTCAGACTTCCCCAGGCATTCTGCAGCCAGATATTGTTTCTCAAGGGGCAGATACTGCATGACATAGGAGTTATCACTACAGTGTGTCTCAGAAGGCGGGACATCTTTCGAAGGCCTGAAACAATACATGGAACAAGTTATATCGGTAAAAGAAATTATGCGTAAATTACTCGAAGCTAGCAAGAGACGGACAATGTGAGCGACAGTGTTGTCGTCAAACTGTTTTTATTAACCTTTCTTCCCCGAAAGCTAATCTGCGTCGGTTTTCGAAAGTCGTTTTCAGTGGCATTATTAGGTTTGCCTGCGGTAAATGTGGCGTCTTTTAAAGACGTTGCAAAACTTGGCGTCATTTCTGCAGCTTCGCTCCCAATGGAATCCTGATGCTGTTCTGACCGCAATGTGGCATCCTTTTAGCGAGGTGTTGGCAATTGGCGTCGTTTTTACAACGCATCCTATGGAATCACGAGTTTCATTTTTACCAAATATGGCGTCTTGCGGCCTCGTAATGAACGACGTCGCGACGATCGGCGTTGGTTTTGCAACTACGTGTTCAAAGGCATCCCGAATATCATCATGCCTTAATGTGGCGTCGTTTGGCGGCTTCGCGACGCTCTGTGTTAATTTCTCGATGTAGTTTCTAGTGGTCCCCTGAATAGTACCTGCGATAAATGTGGCATATTTTGAGGCGTCAGTATGATAGTCGTCGAGGTACTTGGCGTCCTGATGTCATGACTTTGCTTGTCGGTTGAATATTACAGAAAAAAATTATCTCTACTATCAGGATATCCAAAGAGACCCAAATCCAGGAGAATGAGGTTTTACGGGTTTGTGATCTTGGTTCCTGTTCTCCAGAACGAAAAGCGCCTTGCCTAGGTCTCATTCTTTTCTTGTGTTTACCCAGTATAGTTTTCGGCTCTGTAGTGTTTATTTCTGTAATCTCGTCTTTTTTTAAAAAAAAGTTCGATCTTGGCGCCGTTTTTCTCTCGTGCTTAATATCCGAGCTACAGAATTTACCTTCACTGGAAATCAAACCCAAGGCAACTTTTCGGGACTCTGGCACAAAGCAGGTAGCTGAGTGTTGGAGTCCTGCTTTCAAAAGCTGAAATAACCAGCATAACACTGAAGTCTGACATCAGCAGACAATTGTATTTAGCCCAGACTTTTGGATGAATGTCTACATTTAGGGAAATGATAATTTGAAAATAGTTTCGTTTATTTTACGCTTAAGGCATGAATTTTATTCATAAGGAATAGAATTCCTAGCATTGAAGTAGAGGGAAGCATGTTAAATTTGTATTTGACTATAGTGAAGAATAACACATAAGTGTGCAGTTTGTACTGATACAGATGCCTTGAAAGACGAATGTCTCCTCTTGAACGAGACGTTAAAGCTTAATTACTTACGTTAAAACAGCGTGCATAATTTCTTCGAGAAGGTGCATTTCCTCATGGTAGAATGGCGAATGAGCTGCTTCACATATACTTTTGAGGAGACATGTTCGACCATCAAAACCATGGTCTTCCAGGAATGCTTCTAGCGGCACGTAAACGCCCAGCAATGCTTTTTTGGAGATTTCTCGTTTCCCCATTATCTCGGGTGCCGTATGCCACAACGTTGCGTTAGTCGGCATAGAGAAGACCATTTGAACTCCGAAGGAAAGGGCGAGGGTCCTGTTTGGGATACTCGCTGGCGTTGACATCCCCACGGTAAGCTGGAAGTGTGTTATGTATATAATAAAGTATTTTGTATTCTTTTAAACACATGTGCATAGAAAAATACTCTATTTTGTTTGGATTCAAATTCGTCTCAAACAGATTACGAATTGTGCGTATGACAGACGGAGGTCTTTATAACTTTAAGGGCCTTGTTGTCTCTAACTACAGGACACTTCAAAGAGACATAATGAATTACTGAAATTTCTTGTGGCACAGACACTTAGAACAAGTAACCATCTTAAGGTTTCGTGTATTAGTAGTGATTAAGTCAAGGAGTATGAAATGGTCCGGAACTGTAGCACGCGTAGGATTGATGACAAAATTGTCGACAAACCTGTAGGCAAGATACAATTTGAAACACCAGGCGCATACAGAAAGATTGGTCTGAAAGGTACAGGATAGGTGAGTCCATTTTGTTCAGGATACTGAACGTTTGGGGTTTAGTAAAAGCGGTAATTTCTTGAATAGCTGAGGGATACAACTTGAAACACCAGGCGCATACAGAAAGATTGGTCTGAAAGGTACAGGATAGGTGAGTCCATTTTGTTCAGGATACTGAACGTTTGGGGTTTAGTAAAAGCGGTAATTTCTTGAATAGCTGAGGGATACAACTTGAAACACCAGGCGCATACAGAAAGATTGGTCTGAAAGGTACAGGATAGGTGAGTCCATTTTGTTCAGGATACTGAACGTTTGGGGTTTAGTAAAAGCGGTAATTTCTTGAATAGCTGAGGGATACAACTTGAAACACCAGGCGCATACAGAAAGATTGGTCTGAAAGGTACAGGATAGGTGAGTCCATTTTGTTCAGGATACTGAACGTTTGGGGTTTAGTAAAAGCGGTAATTTCTTGAATAGCTGAGGGATTGTTATATTCTTCAAAATAACGTGACTCCAAGAAAATAGTTCCTTGTGATCAGCACATTCGGTATTTGAGGAAAAGTTAGTTAGAACTATAAATACCTGTCTATACAGCACATGCGTCTAATCTTTCTTATCTTGCGTTGTCACTGTTACATTGAGATAATGAACATTTTTAATCCAGCAGTAAAATGGAATATAGTATCCCCTGCTGTTGGGGTTGGTTAGGAAGTACATTTTCCCGGATAATCGAAACCTCGGATGATCCACAAAAATAAAAACATTGCAAGTGTAACAAATATTTAATTTTAATTGTAGACATAAACTACTTCAATTTTTTAACGATTTACTAATAACAGAAAGGATTTTGTGTAAAATGTAATGCAGCACACAGCAACTATTAAAGAAAGAAGGATTCCAACGATAGTAGTAATAACATTCTATTGTCACAAACTTCAGGTTTTAACAATTTTTCTATGAAAATACGTTAAATGATATGTCATTATTTTATTTCTGTCTTTCTTTCTTTCTTACTTTTTAAGAGTTCTAAATTTTACAACAGACTTTTTAAATTAATTTTAAATTTTCTTTCAAACCAGGTAGACCCGGTTAATTCGTCCCTGGATAATAGGGAGTCTACTGTAGTTTGATATTTTTATTTTCGTCATATTTGCATCACTAGATTTGTATTTCTGAAACAACATGGCCAAAAACTTTGAGAGAAAGATATGCGTTATCTAGAAGAAAATAGAAGAAATGTGAATCTTAATTTTATATCACACACCTGCAAGACCGTTCCAGTTGGGAACACCAAGGCACGTCGTTCACGATGAGAGGACGTACCATTATTTACATCACATGACAACGTCCGCGTTGTCACTAGCAGAAACATGGTAATGATTACGACGTTCGATGTCTCAGCGAGCAGAGCCATCATATAACCTCACAAATGAGAGTACACTGTGGGCCACTGAATGGTCAACATCAGGGAGACACAGAAATTTACTTTTCTGTTTAACACGAAGTAGTGCGTTTTTATCAGTGGCATGAAGCACACAGGTCATTCCGCGTGTTAACTACAAGTCTAATGGCTTGTTTCTTAGCTGAATGCGGTGACATAGCAAAAGAGCAGGCATGTTTCTTACAACTGGAGCCATTGATCGTGTTTTTCGGAGTACATTTAATTGTTGACAGACATCGTGAGAATGTGATTTTGTATAAATAACAAGGCACGATAGGATCTAAAATAGACTGCTAGAATTAAAATGCCAGACTATTCTGTTCTAAATAGGTATAGAAAATTACTTTAATCACTTGTCATTTTATATGGAAGTAATTAAATTACGCAGGCTGAAATAGCTGACCCTATGAAATTATATTGAGTTGATTTAGTAATTTTTCGATTTTCCTGTCAGTAAGAAATTTTGTATTTAGCTTAGTAAGTTAATTTAGATGCCGCATCACAGATATATGTTTGACGTAGTTCTGTATCTCCCAGTTCAGCTTAATTCAATGTCATGTAGTTCAATTAATTCTACTGTAGTCAGGTTTATAGTTCCAGTTGTGTTTGTCACTTGGTTACCGAAGAGGCGAGGCGTAAAAGTAATTAAATCTCAGAATCATAGGAAATTAATACAAAATATGGCAGTACATTATACTGTAAATTTGGTAGGATCATCTTATAGAAGGTATAAATGTTCTCTATTTGATATTGCTTTTTGTTTGAAGGAACTGCAACATTATACAAAAATTGTTCTTTATAAAACATTTTAAAGCCCAACGGCAACTCTATGTACCACCTTCATAAACAGTCAGTAACTTTATATTTTGCCCTCACATTTTGCCAAAGACTCGCCAAAACGGCTACGGAAACCTATGAAATGCTAAAGCAAGCATTTGGGGAGTCCGCAATGGGTCGTGCACAAACTTTTGTGTGGCATTCACGTTTTAAAAATGGCCGAACCTCTGTCGATGATGACGAGCGTTCTGGACGACCATCTTCGAGCACAACGCCCGATCGCACCTCGTATTTATGGGTTTCGTATGATTCCCAGAATAAGCAGCGACAAATTCCTTAATCTGTATTAACTAGGTCATCTTTTTAAATGAGAAGTGTTTTCTTTACTGTACGGGCTGAGTTCTTAAATTTTAATTTAACAACCTTCAGCTTCAAAAGGTTCGCCAGTTATTGTGGATTATTTATAAAGACGATAATAATTTTCTGATTTGTTAGTTTTGTAAATAAATCCGGTTGGAAAAATAAAACGGATATTCATTTACTGACAGTAAAGGCGATGGTACCTGTTCTTTAAGATTTCTACGTAGTATTCTGAAAGCATGTTCATGTTATAAACAACAGTAGAGCTAACTCCATGTAGCTGTGTGCGTCATAAGACGCTACTAATCCTTCAACATTTCAATAAATTCATCGCTTTCAATGATACCCGCAGGTCCAGTATTGTCTAGAACAGCCCGCCACTGACTCTCAGTCACATGAATCCAGCTCACAGTCTCACATTCTATTCTATTAATATCCATTTTAAGCATGTAAGCAGCAATTCTCATGGGCAGATACTTCATAACCTCACAAAAAATTTTTTCTTTTGGCCAAACTTCTTGTGAAAAACGTAACAAGTCACACATGTCTTTCAAACCGTCGGCATGTTTTATTTCCGAAACTATAGAGCATACCCTATGTAAATAAAAAATGGAAAAATTTCTCCACTAAAATGTATCAGAGGAATTTTTAATTTAGGGTATGTAGATCAAAAGTTGGCCCAGGATAGGGCCCGGTTGAGGGCTTTGGTTAATTCGGTGATGAACCATCGGCTTCCATAATCCATCTAATTAGTTAGATCAAAAGTAGCCGCTAGGCCTAGGGTGTGATTTCGAATCCCTGTGCAGGTATGGATGCGTGTCTTCTGTCCTTTGCACCATGCTCGTTTGCGTGGAAGAATTTCTGAACCTCAATCCACGGTATGCTATCAAATTTTGAAAAAATGTCAATAAGACTGTCAGAAAATTCTTCCAAAAAACCAAAGCTCATAAGGGGTTATGTCTCGTATGTAGTAGTGGTTTTGGGATCAGTAAGAACCTCTTCTGCACGCAAACCCATATTTACCTAGATCACAGTATTCAGCGAAATGCGAAATCTGCCCTTGTCTTCTTTTGTTCGGTCCTACAGCGAACGCGATAGTCCCTCAGATGGACAATTCAGTACGTACTCTTTTCCGATTTATTCACGGTAAAATTGTAAATATGGTTTCTTTGCCTCCTGAGAGTTCTGTGTTCGTTTCTGCCATCTATTAGCACCCACGCGAACTATTTGATTTCGTAGCTATTGAATATGACGTGAGGAACTCCTTAGGAACGCTGTGTAATCTGCAGAGTACATCTTTCGAAACGTGTTAATGAAATTTTCCCCGCATCGTGCGGTCTCGGTCGACGGGACCTCGTTGTGAAGAATGAGGTGCGCTGCGTGAGACAACAAGTTAGATGTCATCCGGCTCCACGTGAACTTGCACGTGCTGCAGAGAGAGGAAAGACGTGTAATGTGCTAATTTAACAATCACACTGTAATCACTACATATTTATTGTATACTTATAACCAGTTACAAAATATGTGTTTACAAAATTATTTGTGAATACGTCTTGAGTTGTTAACACGTTCGCATCGGAAAAATTATTGCCACTAATACATCGGGCCATGTTTCTTACTGCGACAGAGACACTATGTTTACAAAGTACACAATTTAAGAGGGGTTTCATGTCTGATGCAATATTATATTTTTGTCATCTAATGTTTGTAGGTATATGCACGTATGTACATTAGTAATTCTTAATGAGGTCGCTAACTAAAGTGTTGTATAGGCCTGTTGAGCATTTTATAGGATGTGTTCCTAGTTTGTTTATTTTGCAAACATTTCTACGTTTAGTGTTTGGGAAATCATATCCAAAGGAGACTTCGGACAATCTGGATAGGCGGTTTCACAGTTTCCGTCAGATTTTCCCAGGCACTCTGCAGCTAAGTATTGCTTTTCAAGTGGAAGGTTTTCCAGCACGTAATTGCTGTCACTGCAATATTTTTCTTCAGACCGTACCTCTTCAGAAGGTCTGTAACAGATATTTTCTGCACTGACTTATCTCATACGGATTTTTAAATATAAACAGTGTATTCAGTACAGTACAAACAAATAAGGGCAATATGAAATTTTGTTTAAACACAATTTATTTTAAAAAATTTAAATTTTCATCCCTTTGCCTTCAGTGAAATCTTTGCGCACAATATCGCCCATTACAATACACAGGGCGAAATCGTGTTCTCATTAAGAGATGAAACAAACAAGATTAAACATATAAAATAATGCACGGTATATAAAACAACATTTTAAATTTTGTTTAAGGAATGAAAGAAAGTGAAAGATTGGTAACAATATTAGGAAACACGTAAGAATTTTATAGTGTCTGAATCCCCTAATATCTGATGGTTTGAGACGATGCAGTAATGGAAGATTGTTTAAATAAATTAAATAAATAAATTGATAAGACTTTTTTGACATGGGATCGGCCCATCTCAAGTCATGTGTACATTACAGAAAAGCTCAATAAGAAATGCCGACTTAAATCCATGCCTCGAGTGAGATTAGATGTCAAGACCCCAAGTTTTCGAGCGGTACAAGCCCGTACACTCATAAGACGACGGTCAGAATATGGAGTACGTACTAATAAAATCCCATTGTTATATGGAAATTGGCAGTCCATTTATTATTACTATTCTTAGTATTCTAGAGGTCACGTTTCATAGTCTTTCGTGGTTTCGCTCAGTTTCTACAGGCAGAATCTCGGATAGAGCCCTAAATTATACGTCGCATTCACTTTCGTCGATATAGTTTTAATTCATTATACACTAACCGTCCAATCATTTGACACTTGTCGTCTGAGCTACTGACGGTCAGTCGGAAATGAAACTGAAATCAAATAAATCTGTTGCCGTTGAGAATTTCGATTAGAAGGTTTAGAGTAAAAGCTAAACATTCAAAAGCAAAGTCACTGTACATTTACTAATAAAAATTCAAATAAAACCAAGTGATCGATATAAAAATGTACGACGTTAGGATTCGCTTATCTGAATAACTGGCACTCGGTCGGAATGCAAAGAAGGTGGGAGATGTCCAGAAACCCAATAACGTAAGATTTACTCACGTTAAAATTGTATGCGCAACTTCCCCGAGAAGATCCATGTTGTCTTGTTGGAATGGGGAATTTGCAGCTTCGCAGATGCTTCTGAGGAGGCACGTCCGACCTTCGAACCCGTTGTCCTCTAGGAACTCCTCAAGAGGGACGTACATGTCCAGTAGGGCGGTGCTGGAGATATCTCTCTTACGCGCTATGTCCGGGGGTGTGTGCCATTGTGATGCCATAGTTGGCAAGTTGAAGACCATTTGAAAATACAGTGACATTGTAAGTGTCCTGTTTGGGACACTCACAGGAATGGATAACCCCAGACTAAACTGAAAATGTTACGAATAAACGGTGCAAAACAATTTATGAAAAATACTGATTTTTGAATACGCATGTTGTTTTAAGGCCCCGTGTCAACTCTAACGTGAAAATATGGATAATGGCCTTTTGCGTTATTGACACAGCATGAGACAGAAAAACTGACATATCTTCTCAGGGACTGACTTCTTTTATTAATTTTTTTAAATATTCAGGTTCTGCAACCTTAGACATACGTGTTCCTGCAGCTGTGGAGCTTAATTAAATCACTACCGTGACATGTAGATACGTTTTTAAGGGAGGGGGTGCGAAAGATTATGTGACATGTTACACCTGATATTATGTAAAAGAGATAAATAAAATGAAACTAGTCAGATTAGCAAACTAAATAATGCATTAAACCGTAGGCTTAAGTTAAAACCTTTTGACGTCTGGTCATTTGGATTACATTACACTAATGCCATGATATATTAAATTCGAAACAATCTAATTATCTGTGACAATTTTAAGGCAGTTATTTTGAAGTGGGGATGAATTGCGTTTATTTTTTAGTAAAACCTAATTTTTAAATAAAATTTAGTTCTACTACGACGCCAAAGGGTTAATCACGCAGCATTGAATTTTAAACTTCTGATTCTTTCCTTCAAATATGCTTGCGAATATAAACGCACTAATTTCGTATCTGATTTTCACATGACGCACGTTATTGTATAAAAGTTTCATGTGAATATATTTTGTACTCAACCTGTAGCAAATGTTAAAAAATTTAAAATGTAAATAGCTGTTCGTGGAAAATATTGGTAAAAATATACATGTCATCTCTCGTTTTCGTAATTAAGGTTTAGGGAATGTTCGTGCGAAGATGTTTTTGGTTCAATTTATTTTAGATTTTGAGGTGATTAAAATAGCTCATTTCTTTTTTTCCAAAGTAACGTTTAGAAGGTTGTCTTTGTAAACATATTTTGCGGTTCCTTATGATTGTTGTCGCGTGTTCGGAATTTGCACACTGGTCCATTAAACAGACGGGATGAAAAGATATTTTTATTTCTAATGGTCCAACCTAATAATAGGGCCTATATGAGATGCTTCAGTGCGTTTAGTTATAAGAAGCCATTTAGTATTTTCTCAGTTCGTTTTTATGTCAGGAATATTCCTTTCGTGAGACTTTTGTATTAAAATGTTTCTTGTAGATTTAACTTTGAGGCATCCTTTGCTGTTGCAGATTAAGGAACAAGTTTTCTGGGAATTAAGGGGAAAAAGTGTTCATGTATTATTCTTTTTTCTATTTTGCCTTTCAGGTGACAGGTTTCTTCTGCACGTGTTTTAAGGTCCCTAGTAGCTGTTGGATGTTGCCTTTATTTTGCTTAACCATTTATATGTTGAAGATTTCTGTATTCTGAAGACAGAAATCTTCATACTCACCGCTGTGAAAACCTCAAATCATACATTTAGATGTTATTGTGATGGTATTTTCAGGTAATCTGATGCAAGTTTTGCAAATTCAGCAATCTTCTCACATTTAATGTGTTAGATGGGAAAATAATGAATGCATATTTCCTTTTCCTACTTTTAGAGATTTCATTTGAAACATAATTCGTGACGCACATTTCCTTGTACCTTGTGCAATAGTAAAAATTTGAAAGCTTATTTAAATGTTTCCCAAGATTCAAGTATGGACGAACATTTTCTGCCATTTTTCATTTCTCCCGACCCACAGATTGGCTCATAAGGAATCTAGAGTAATTTATAAATAAATACTTAGTTATTCGAACCCATGATAATTTATCGGAATTTTAGATTTTATTGTTGCAAACCCCGGATCTTCTAGTTAAATATTATGTTTTAGATCCTAATTCCACGTGTAGCTGTAAATTAAAGCACGGACGGGCAAACAGACAAGACAAACATTTGAGGTTCACGCGTAGAGTGAAAACAGTTTTATTTGATGGAATAAATAAGTGAAACATTGTGCATATTTAGTTTAGATTCCTGATAAAATGCAGAGAACATATTTGAACGTACCTGCAGGACAGTTCCAGATGGAAACACCATGGAACGACGTTCGCGATGTGTTGGTATGCCATTATTTACGTCACTTGACAGGGTCATAGTGGTCACCAGCGAAAATATAGTGAACATAATGACCAGCAGTTTGTGCTCTGCAAACTCCATCTCGTTCTCTCAAGACGTGCACTACGCACTGGGCGACTGTATGTCCAACAGATCCCGAGGAATTTCAATTTGCCTTTCCACTTAAGCTTTATACTGACTGTGGCTGTTCATGTGGCGACTTTACACAGTAAATAAGTTATATTAGAAAGTTTTCGCAATTGATTTCAAATCCTTGAGGCGGTGAGTACGAAGTCTTCTAGGCTGTTGCGCTGTGTAATTTGCTAGAAGTTTACCGACGTTTTAGAGGTGGTTGCTAATCACCAGGGCGATGAAACGATAGAGGTAGTGAGCACCTCTGAAACTTTGGTAAACTTCTACTAGACTACACGACACGACGCAACATCTCAGAACACATTTATCTCAGTTTTAACGCTTCCTTTCTTCTGCTGCGTATTATTTAAATTAAATGACAGTGTTAGAGCATTATCGCAGGATATTGCTTATTTATGTTATTACTTAATTATCGTTTCAGTGAAATAGTTATTTTTAAAGACTGCTGATTAAATATATAAATAAATTATATAAGTAAATTTATTGAGTTTTGTTTATACATAAGATTTATAAGATTGTACCCCCTTAACGAATAAACAAGTAAGATACGTGTTTTAGTCAAACTTAACAAAATAAAATAAATTCAATAATTAGTAGCGTTATTTTCCAATGCAGATGTGATCATATCAAGGTATTTATACTGCGCAAGAGTCAGCAAATATTTTCCTTGTGCTTAAATATTCAAAACATGGAAACGTGTTTCGAATAAAAAAATTATTAATAAAATCAATATTTTATATACGTAACAGTTTTCTCCTTTGAATCGTTTCTAAAAACATGGATAATTTTCTATTTTACCTTTATTTTTGTATTTGACAAAAGTTTACACCACGCAAAATTAAATTAGATCGTAAATTATTAATGTTGATAGCCCAAGCATCGAATTACGATCAGTAATTATTCAATTAAACACAGGGGTATACAAATGCGTCCTCCTCATTATGCATTCGTGTGTGGACTTTATCCAGAATTCATAATAACGTCCAAGCATTAGTACGTTTTATTCGTGAAATGTCACGATATTGATAAAACATACTAGTAGGTTAAGAAGCAACCAAGCTGCTAATTTCTTGTGCATTGTCAGTCTCTTGAATACTGTGTAGATTATAAATGACTATTTGTATTTTGTTTTTGAAATCAGATACATTTATTAATTTATTTCCATTATTTATTTTCTTCTTTACTATAAACTTCAGTTGACTTTCGGGATTGACGTCATACAGAGAAGAAAGGTCTAGTTTGTGAAGGGAATACTTTCATAAGAATATAATACATTACAAATAAGTAAACAATTCACTGTTCTTCAGAAAGAATTGTTTCGTCATTAATAATCCTGGATATGAAGTCTAGAGGAGACTCTGGACAATCAGCATAACGAATGCGACAGTTACCACCGGACATCCCGAAACATTCTGCAGCCAAGTAGGGAACTTCTTCACTTTGGTATTTTAGAGAGCTGTAGTTGCCATCACAATATAAACCTGCAATTGATGGTTCTGAAGAAGGCCTGGAACAGAGCGCATAGAATTACGTATGGAGACGTTCTGTCAAGTCTCTCTCCACTTTTAGAAGAAAACAATTTTTTAAAAAAATATTCAGTATAATTCGTCACGTCGTTTTGCCTGCTAAACACTTTTACCGAATAAAAATCATTAACATTAAATTCTCTCTCATTTCGAGAAAAATAAATAACATAATTCTTAGAGTATTTAGCTATTGTGTAATGTGAAGCTTTCGCGGCAAATGAAGTTGGTGAAAGACTCTCGGGTTACAAGCCGCGTCAGGCGGCTGAATGGTGAATAAATCATTTCTTCTGAAAACGTTTCGACTGCAATCTATGCTCTCATCCTCAGGGCTGCTGCGTAAAAAAATTTTGTCCAGAACAAATTTTATCGTTTCCATGAACTCGTTTCTTGAAAAGCTTATGTATTTTAAATTTAGTTTTTTCTAAGAATTTACAGTACCTCACTCATTTTTCTGATTTTAAGTGCCCTCGATCACTCTCAAAAACACGCAAACACATGGTGTTTCACAGAGCATTCTACCTTTAGAAAGAAAGTAAGTGGTCTAATTCTCGTATTACTTACGCTATTGCGATAGACTAGAAATACATTTTTTCTTCATAAAATAAGACTTAAGGTTCCTTTATTTAACGAAGCTTTATGCGCCATAAGACGCTGGAATTATTAACGACTGTTAAGTTTTGAAAAGGAACTCTACACCAAGAAGTTAGTAATTTATGTTAAAGAATTGGTACACAAAATGTTGGCTTTTCCTACAATTCCTGCCAAACCGCAGCAAATGTTTATCTCGAAGTGTAATTGCAAACCACAGATTAAGGACATTGACCCATGCTATGAATTTAACATACGTAAGTACTGCATGTGCTATTTCCTCCAGCAAGCCTTTGTCTTCGTGGTTGAACGGCGAACGCGCGGTCTCGCAAATGCTTCTCAGCAAACACGTCCTTCCATCGAAGCCATACTCCTGCAGTAGGGCTTCGAATGGCAGGTACATAGACAACAGGGCTTCCCCGATGTCACGCTTTGGTCGTGTTACGTTTTTTTGCCGAAATTCTGTTGCGTTTGTAGGTAGTACAAAATTAAACTGAATTCCTAGAGATATCGCTAATGTCTTGTTAGGGACTAAGACTGGAGTCTGGACGGCGAAATTGATCTGTGGAAAATAAAAATAAGACATGTGTAAAACGTACAACTGTATACTCAGACGAAACAATGCCAGTTTCTTAGACTGAATTTATTTAACTCTGATATCTTTATTGAAGAAAACACGTTATTTCATTACCACATCCTAAACAGTCTTAGTGTTGGAAATGATTGTCTTCTGGGTTTTAGCGCCGTGTAGTCTGGCAGAAGTTTACCAACGTTTAACAGGTCCTTGCTGCCTTCATCATCAGGGTGATCATCGCGAACTTCTACCAGACTACACGGCGCTACAATCCAGAAAACAGAAACGTCATATCCACCTATGTAATACATTTTTATTATCACCTTCTCCAATCGGCAATTTACCCCAAAAGTTCTTTGCACTCAACGGGTTTCTTTCTGGACATGAAGTTCAACGTACCTGGAAAACTGTCCCAGATGGGAATACCATTGCGGGGAAAAGGAGATCTCGTCGCTGACGGTGGAGGACAGGCTCCAGGTCGCTTTGTTGCCTCGTTGAAGACGTCAAGATTACAGTGTCGAGGGCAGTGATTATAAAAAGCAGTTTGCGCAGAGGTGATACAGCTAGTGACATCTCAACACTGGTACTGCCGATGTTCCCGTGTTCATACAACATTCAAAACTACACCACTTATTATGCAAATGAAAAAGTTGAACTCACGCACAAACACTATGCGACTGTTAATGAACGGTCTGTAAACAGCCATACGTTGCTGTTGATTTATATTCTAGATGTGTAATAAATATATTTCAGATTCCGAGAAAGGCATATTCAACATTTAATTTATCTAGAATACTTATTTTAAACATCAAATCCTTATAATTAGTAGATAAACTACAATTTAAGAAATTAACTCTTTGACAGTTGACCTATAGGATTGTTCACATTGCAAAGGGTGATTGCTGGAGGGACTAACCAGTAGCTTAGTCACTATACTCGTGTAAACAATCGCTTGAACGTAGGATTTTAGGTTTTCACGGTGGTGAATTTGGGCTGTTGCGCCGTGAAGTCTGGTATAAAATTGCCAACGTTTCGGAGGTCCTCGTTGCTTTCATCATCAGGGCGATGAATACTCACAGAGGCAGCAATTGAGGTATCTTTATAATCGCCATTAGAAGGTTAACATTCCAAATCATTTCTCGCAGCTCTTTCATACTCACGTAAGCAAGACCGGTAATATTTCGCCCACAAGACCGTTGTAACGCAATGTTGCATCAGCTGTATCAGAGATCGGTCTCAGCACGCCAGGCCATCCGTCGAGGACCATCCTAAACAACAAAACAAGTTAATTTTATAAAAACTGTAAGGTGCAGATGTTGCTTCTCAAGCGGTCACTTTATTTTTAAATAAATGCGATTCCAAATTTATGAAAGAATGAAACACTGGACTTTCAGTCAGTTATAATTTTGATGAACAAGCCAGAGTTGTTAAGTTGTACGTGCAATCCCTGGTATGTTTAGAAGTAATATTTTTCTTCGTTCTAAGAGTATGACGGAAAAGTTTTGCTAAAGTACAGTTACGGAACGTATCATATACAGAATAATCACTTTAAATCGTAGACCATATTTCGTAGAAATTGAAATATAATAATATAACTAATCAACAGTATACATTAAATATTAGTAATATATCCATGAAATATGCTGAATGTTTCCTCCTTAATCTGTTATACAATCACCGAATGATCTTGTCGTATTTCGAGCAAAGCGTATCTTTGTGTTTCTGGTAGTCCTTTTAAAACAGTTTAACACTGTGGTTCCTCTTCAAGCGCTTGACCGAACGCACAACAAACCACATTGAACTAATGCCATGGAACTGAGTTGCTCTTGAGAAGATAATAGTCCCTCAGTGGGTCATTAACTTCCTTGTCCTTTATAGAACCAGAGCTCACTTGAGCTCGCCCCTGGGCCCTGTTATCAGCCATTTTAAAGCAGTTCACACATTTCCACAGCGTGTCTTTAATATTATTCTTTTGACTAAAATGTATGCATTTTCAGTTCTCCCACAAGTGCAATATTCCTATTTGAGCCCCATAATAATTGGAGTACAAATTATGACATTGCTCATAACAATTTGCATTCTGTGGGTTTATTTAAACAGGAATCATATTTAAAAATGCTTTTTGTTAATTTCTCGCGACCTGGTGTCCTGGCTATCAGGCTTCCAGGCAACCTGGCAAACAGGCGAGCTGTGACTTAGCGACCTAGCGAACAGGCAACGTGACACACTGGCGGTGCATTCGACATGGTGACTTGGCGTCGTCTATGTGAAGTCGTGTGGTCATGTTGGTGGTTATCAGTGCATTGAAGGAAAGTATCGCCTTTATCATCAGCCTGAATTTTTAACCGCCATGATGAATTAATTTCGTTTATGCTGCTTAAAATATGTCAATCCGAAACGTATATCAGATAAATGTCTTGCCCAGAACATCTGAAACGTGGAGCTACTCTATCACCGTTAATATTCTGATTTGTTTTCGAATATTTCGTTAAGAAACAACAGTAATTGAATCTGATTGGAAAACTCTGAACTCTACTGATGATGGTGTTTCAGGCCAAAATAATTATTTCATAAATAACGCGGGAACTATGTTAGACATTATGTTTGTTGGGTTTCGGATGTTTATTTAAGGACGTTCAAGTAGCTCAGAATACGCATTCTTGAGTGTGGTATCAAGAAATCAGAATTGAATTAATGGTGAATTAAAAAGCGGATTATATTCGGTACATGCTCGATACCATTCTGTTCATATTATTTTAATTTTTAATTTATTTGTTTATTAAACTTCATTCCTTATTGTGAGAGAAAGGGCATATATTGACCTATTTCAAAGTGAAATGTTGAGCAGAATTAACATGAGGATAGGGAGTATTGCACGGTGAAGGTCTTAATGATTTGTTCTATTAGCTCAATTTCTTTCAGTGTGATTGAATCAACAAGGATTCCAAGGGCACCACGTACAGAGCGCATGGTTAAAATCAGATGTGCATACGACACATAACAGGAGAAGCTAAATCGACAAGGTATCTTCGGAGACATAGTTACAAAAATGAATCTAAAATTTAACCTAGTGCGCAAGTGTGAAATATAGCAATTTCATTAGAAAAGGCGGTAAAGTATATCCGGAAATAGGGATTACTTGAACAGCTAACTGTCAACTTCCAAATGCGTACTCAACACCACAGTTTAAATTCTAAATTAAAGGGAATGCGAACCGACCGAATCACTTGATATATGGCACATTTCATATTATATGTCTTTGTATAATCGTTCTGTAAAGAAATGCAGGTATATTGACAATGAACTTGATACATTGATGCAGACTTTATTTACTTTTTGCGTTGTAAAGATATTATAATGTTATACAGTGAAATGAACACCTTATTTTCAGATACAATTAAAAATGTGAAGACAAAGCTATGTTCATGTAACATATAAAATATGACATTGTGTATATGAAGAATCATTTGATTTATCGATATTGGTATTTAGCGTTGTAAAGCCGTGTGGACAGATTTCAGCTATGAATAAACAGGCAGTATGTTCCTTCGAAACGTTGGCATCTACTTACAATTCTGCATGAAGTTTCAACCTACAAGACAAACATTGACATATTTAGAGCTTACGAAGCTAAGATCACAAAAAATTGTTTTTTTTAAAAAAAATTACCTATAAAGTTAGTGGTAACTTGATGTTACATTTATGAAAGTCATGCCAAATACCATCTTTTGCATTAATTATGAAACATACGATAATTATACATTTGTGCGCTTACTTACAGACACTAATAATGATTTTGATGTCGGCAGCATTTACACTAAAATATTTCCTTTTCGTGTTAATTATTACGTTAACTAGAATATAGAGTGAACAAACCAACAACTATTAACACTATAATGGACACTATTGCCATACGCGTTTCGACCTCAAGAGGTCATCATCAGTGGCACGTTAACTGCTTGCATAACATCTTACTATGATCTGATAATGAAAGTAACCAACACCTTTTCTTTTCAATAGCGAAATATGATATATGAAATATGGAAAAAAACATTAAATATTAAATAAAGGTAATTTTTATAACATTAACAAAATTAACATTGCTTATGTAACGATGTTCAACGGCAACACATATTCTGACATATTGAAAGCTCATATATCACAGACGTATTTTTATGGATGCAAATTAGAAGAAATCTTAATCCATCGATGATAAGTAAGGATGATTGTCGTGTGACTTAAGAGGATAAATATATCCACATTGAGAACTAAAGTGTTGAAAATTGTTTACCTGTTGACATTACATTTTCTTGAAATTCAGTTTTAGAAATAAGGTCTAGAAGTCCTATATTGCACTCGGGGTACAAGAGGTGACAGCTTTCGGAGATCTCCGTACCAAGACGCTCAGCTGCGTGGTATTCTCTGTCCGAGTAACTCCTCGGCTTTTCCATTGTCGTAGACGGGCTGCAGAAATATCGATATACACTAATTCAGCGGCTACTTAAGGAAAACTGCGTAACTAAAAATTGTTCGCTCATTTTACAACATAGGAGGCTAACATCTGAGAAGGTTTTATGAATTAATATTTTCCGTTGTATTGTAGCATTAATTTATGAATATCAATACTTATTTATGTATGTAGTATTAAATACTAGATTTTGCCGTTTACATTGCTAGTTTATAAATAATTTAATTTTAATTTATATTAACAGTGATTATTTATGCTGTGGTTAATGCTGTTTGTAAAATATTTAAAATAAATAGGCTTACATTAATTTCTTCAATAGACAAGTTGTGGTTTCATAATGTTACAGTTCGTTACGTAAGTTATACAACTATCATAAAATACAAAATAAATATTCTACGTATACATTCATGCTGCTAAAATGTGTATCTAAATTATAAAGAAACTACAGTTGGAAAACATCATGTTTTTCATTTGAATCTTAAATGTATGGCTAAAATTATGTGTGATTGCATTGTTATAGAGCTTGACGTAAATTTTTTTTGTAATATCTGAACATCTGTTGTGTTTATGGGTTTTTATTCAATTCTGTGATATTATTCTGTACATTGGTGATTATTTGTTTTGTATGTGGTGGTGTGAAGACTACGTGCGACTACATAATACACATTTACATTTATTAGGAAGTAACATACAACAGCGATTAGGTGAAATGAATAAATATTCCGAAACTACAGTAAATAGAAATAATGTTCAGGATTTACGATTTAATCAAGCATATAGTAAATTCAGAAATTAATTCTACTAGTTACTTGGTTTCGATTAATAATAAATATTGTAAAAATGCGTGCATATTAAATATGGAGCACTATATTCGGCACATACATTCTCTCACGTCAGTAAAGAAGGTACAAAACAAAATCATAATTTTTCGTTGTACCATCTCTATACTCACGTAAGCAAGACGTGTAACATTTCGCCCACAAGACCGTTGTAACGCAGAGTTGTATCTGCTGCCTCGCAGATCGCCCTCAGCACACAAGCCCTTCCGTCGAGGTCCATCCTGAGCAACAATACAGATTCACTTTATAAAAACTGTAATGTGCAGATGTTTCTTCTCAAGCGGTCTTTTTTTTTTTTTGAAAATAAATGAGATTCCGAATTTATGAAAGAAGTAAACACTGCACTTTAAATCAGTAACGAGGGTTAACCTATTGAAAAATTACATACTGAATCTAAGGTTCATTACGAAACATGCTTACCAGACATTTGCGAATATTATTTTTGTCTTTCCAGTCCTGAATTGAATAGACAAGTAAAAGAGGCATTTCAATTCTGTCCCTGAAGTTGAAGCTCTTATAACATGTAGTGAGATGTAAAATTCGAAGATCGAATCCATGTTCTGCTTCTTACATACAAAATAAATTGCTGATAACAAATATTTTCGCACATATCGGTCACTGAAGTATCTATTTATTTTATGGGTAGCTCTTTCGATAAGAAAGATAGTGTTGGTTATAAAACGAGTGTTAGCCAAGAAATCAAATACGAGCTTGGAAACATCCCAATGTCCAGATTTAAGTTCATTGTTTTGAAATATTTAGTGAAAAGTTAACACAGCTCCAAACACGTTACAGAAAATAAAATAATTTTCAAGCATGGCAATGATATAGAAACGTTAGTTACCACTTATAAGATCACTCGGTGTTGCAACGAAGAAAACCAAGATCCGCATTTTCGCCGCCGTGAAATCCTCGAATCTCACTTAGGAACTTGCCTTATAGAGTCGATAGGAAAATACGACTTTGGACATGATCACGCCCACTTTCAGCTGTTATTTTACAGAACGAGTATTTGAACTTTATTGCCAGACCGGTCTATTACAATAAGGGCATATACCTACCTGTCAACAGTAGCTTCTAGCTTGGAGTACATGTCCCATCTTGTTTTCATCTGTGTCGACCGTTTCTGAATAACTGAGTATGGATTTGTGAAGACCGTTGCATTTGTGGGAAGCTGATACGTGAATTTCATAACTATGCCCATCGTCATACTTAGATCTAGGAGAGTAACCGGTATGCCAAAACCAAAGATGAACTGTAAGTTTAATACATAATAGCGTGAAAGAAAGGGAAATATAAACTACAATAATTATTAACTAAATATGTGCTTTCATTACGATTAATACTTGGTGAATATTTTACTGCAAAACAGGAAGTAAAAATGAATAAATCAGCATCAGACCCAATGCTCAGTGATAAAAATAGTTTATTAATAGCCCAAGAACAGACGTGTTTAATTCTTTTAATTAAGAACACCTCGTTGACATTTTCTCTCAACTTATTTGTATGAAGTTTTCAAAATCATCTTTCATTGACGTTTTGATCTGATTCTTTACTCATTATAACATTAATGAATGAGATGTGGCGGAATTTATGTAAAAAGTATACATTCTATCGTTTATACAGAAGAAATAAGTGTTCGAGGGTGTAAGAGTTATTTATTAATCGTGCAAATTATGAATTATTTCAATGCTCAGGAAAAATTTAAGGAACGACTTTTCGGAATTCGCGATTTGTATAATATAAGATCAAATCTGATTAGTTAAAATAAAACAAAGATTTATAACACGTTCTGTGTTACAAGTGTCTTCATTCGCGTATACTCTATAATGGTAAATAAGTAGAAATCTTTGACATTTCTACTGAGTAACTTTACTTGTATTATGGCTCCGTCTTGGAACACTAGATTCCTCCGTTTTCGAGAATGACTGTAACTTGCACGAACATCTTCACTACCTCCATTCAAAGCAGAGCCCAACTGCTGCAGTGGGAAGTAACAGAGTAAAATCAGGAACGCGTATTCTATGTTCATATTCCTGTACATGGATGATAAAAAAATATAATGAAACATCCCGATGGTTCTATTAACCATTTAATAGCCAAGTAGTAAATACATGTGTCACATATTTTAATACTTAATAACTGCATATCCAAAGACAGTCATTTCGCATGATTTTCAGAATGAACAGCGATAATTTCCTTGTAATGGAGAAGTGTTCTCTTTGATGTAGGGACTACATTTTTAAATTTTAGAGAAAGATAGTGCTTCAGATCAAGGGAAAGTAGGCCGCACGTTTCAAATTGCTACTTAGACCACACTCTTTATAATTCATTACATTTATTTCAAATAATTGTACCATCTTAAAGGCCTCATGAAACAAAATACAAATACTAATTAAGTACGTTGAATGCTTAAGGCTACAGCGAAGAGTATATAGAGTCAGTGGTCCAAGTAGCACGTTTTTTGGCTCAGAGGTAAATGAAGCTCATTTGTTCATTAACAATATAGTGATGAACTTTATGTTCGTAAATTTAAAATTTAAATACATAAGAAATATTTTTCCTAGTAGGCAAGAAGACCGGCATGCGAAACGAAAACTCAGACAATCTAGGAGTAATATTGCAATTAAGAATACATTGTAATTCACTTTTCACGTTCTCTGTCACTCTTTAGGGCCTAGAGCTAATGGCATTTAAAAAACGGAAATACTTACATATGTATTGTCTTATTGGATATATTGAGACACTATATGCTATGGTAAACAATTCTTCAGACGCTGCCACATTCAGTATTTCTGTAAGTGGACAAAATGTTACTAAAATAATTTAATAAACAATATAATAATAAAATAAGAAGACACGTCTATGTTCCTTGCTGTATACCTGCGACACTCGTTAAGAATACTCTACTGCTAGAACTATCCTGCAAGTTGAGAATACCTTAGGAGCATTTGTCGTACACATTAAAAAGATGTTAATTAAACTAATACATTTATGAGACTATCGACAAATAATGTGCTATTTTAACAGTGAATCCAGTAACAGTTATTGTATTGTCCACCTTTTCTTAGAGAATTCAAGGAAAATATAATTGTAATAATTCTTACTGAATCGTTCTTAATTGTTTATGCTAATGTGGTTCCAGACTGAATTTTCTTGAGAACCCTTATAATATTAAAACATTATACTAATTATTTTAATATTGTGTGTTATATTATACATCTACGTTCTTAATGTATGAATGTGGAACTAAAATACATAACACATCAGAGATGCTTTAACAAAACCGCGACAGCATATTGTCTTCGTGTGTATGTAAACAGGGAACGAGAGAGTAGGAAATGTACCTGTCCAGGTAGTGAGAATGATGTAGATTGCATTGTTTACAAACTGCTTAAATGAATTCTGATATGCCTTAGTTCCATCCACTTTTCAATTCATCTTAGTACAACCGAGCTTCCAAGCCCCGCGGTCGGATCCCGGAATTAGCCTGCCATCCTAACCTAAACTGATCTAACCTCAAGCTATCAGTGTTCTACCCCGAGCCTAACTGATAAAAATGTTTAAAGCGTACTAAGTAAGTTTTTTCCATCTGTTTCAACAGCCAACATAAACGAGTGGGATGTGATTACAAGAAAACTGCTTTAATTTTTGGAAATACCAGAACTCTAATATTGCGGAGACGTTAATGATTACTTCACTTATTCTCTGGGTAGTGCGATTATTGTTATTAATGTAAATTTTGTGATTTTAATACACTGAAAATACTTGTAACTACTTAACTACATGGAGCAGAGTCCTTCATGAGGAGCTGTTAGTCGCTTAGCGAAGAAAGGAATTCTCCTACTTTTGTCGTACCCAGTTTTCAGTACTATTTACGCTAAAAGCCTACCTATGGGCCACACTAATACAGTCCTCATCCTGACACCAAGTTCTTTAAGATCGATCTATGTCTCATGCTTTCACTCTTTCTTACTATAATGTAGTTTCCTCGTACCACGCATGCATGTAACTCTGATTATTAGCAATAGACAAACAGGATTATGAAATTTAGTGTTTAGAGTGTATAATGCTTAACGAAAGTATATTCCGCCTTTACGCAGTGTTAAGTAGTATTCGTAAATGAGACTGGGGCGACCAAGTGATGCTGTGTAATTATTTTTTTTTTGTTAATTTCAGAATTTTGTTTATATTGGTTTCAAAGTGTTTCACAAACATGTGATACCAATAATAATAATTAGACCCTTCAGTCGACTTTAAACTCATCAATCAGTTACAGTGAGTGATGTGGCTGTCAATAACTTTTGGGCTACACTAATTACAATATCATAAAACGCTCGGTTGTTGTAATGCAGTAAAATACATTCTGACGATTTCTGTGTTCCCCATACTTAATGAGCACTAAGAAGCTTAAAGTTTTGAAGTGTAAATAGCGTGCCTACGGTTTAAGTAGTAAACAAGCTCCTTGGATGGATACGGTTTTTACTGTAACATCAGTAATCACATGTCCGTGTGAGTCATGTGTAAATGTGTTTGCTACAGTAAGTACGTTGTCATACTTGGTGAAATAATTGAAAAGACACGCAGTTTGCGGGGTCATAGACAGCTGGAAGTTATTTCACCTTGTATAACTTAACTGTTCTTTGTTCCTGTAGTTCAAAGTCTCATGCAGGTGACAAGTGAATAACCCTTGCAAAAGAACGATACTTTTTAGATTCTAATCATCCACTGTGGTTCCATAAACAAAGCTGCTTTGGTCAGAATTTCGCTAGGCTCCTTTCATCTCCTACCCCTTCCAGTAAACTCTAGAGTCAGCTAATAATTTCAGTTCGTGAATATTTATATGACCCTCAAATGCTCCTCATCTAACATGATCCAAGATCTGAAATACTTGGCACCTTATCTCTACTCCTGAAACCTTTATGATGATATTTATATGAACAAGACAACTTAATGTTCACGTACTTGCCTCTACCCTACAGCATTGCCATCCCCAAAACTGAAAGCGAATATCAACATGATATTGTAGTTTCTTATCCATTCTGCGAAAAGTCAAAACATGTAAGTCTGCTCCAGTAGAATTTATGTTCCCTGCAACCTTATCATACTTTACTGACGAGTAATTTCTTTCGTTTTATTAAAGTTGTGATGAACTGTTTTGATAGACAGCAATGCTGAATGTGGGGTATATGTCTGTGCAATGCAGAGAATTATAGTCAATTTAATGCTGTTGGTAGATGTCGGAACTAATATAGAAATGTTAAATATATGCTATACCGAAATACTTTTTGAGTTAGTCTGAGCTAGGTTGGCTTAAGTTCTGTGAAGTTACGTTATGTCAGGTATAATTACTTTCGTTTAGGTTATGTAAAGTTTTATTAATTTAGATTGGGTTATGTTAGTTTCATTTTAATTAGTTTAGGTTGTGTTAGTTGTAATTAGTTTCAACAACGTTACGCTAGTTTGCTAAAGAGAAATGTTGATAGTTAAATATCTCGTCATGTTAGTCGTCGGGTCCCCAGCTTCTGTCGAGTTGTGAGGCTACAGAAACTACCTTTTACGGAAGCTGGCGCCCGCGACACTTTATCGAGATTGTTGCCTTTATTTGTGTTATTTCTCCGCAGATCACAAAGGTAATTTCCGAGCTAAAGAAATTATACACACCGGAATCGATCCCAGGACAGATATTCTGCGTTGTAATCTTAGTTCCTGTATGTAAGACTTGAGGTTCTCACAGCGATGAGTATGAAGATTTCTGTCTTCTGGGTTGTCGCGCTATGTAGTCTGGTCGATGTTTACCAATGCTTCAGAGGTCATACTGCCTCCGTCATCAGAGTATGAAGATTTCTGTCTTCTGGGTTGTCGCGCTATGTAGTCTGGTCGATGTTTACCAATGCTTCAGAGGTCATACTGCCTCCGTCATCAGAGTATGAAGATTTCTGTCTTCTGGGTTGTCGCGCTATGTAGTCTGGTCGATGTTTACCAATGCTTCAGAGGTCATACTGCCTCCGTCATCAGAGTATGAAGATTTCTGTCTTCTGGGTTGTCGCGCTATGTAGTCTGGTCGATGTTTACCAATGCTTCAGAGGTCATACTGCCTCCGTCATCAGAGTATGAAGATTTCTGTCTTCTGGGTTGTCGCGCTATGTAGTCTGGTCGATGTTTACCAATGCTTCAGAGGTCATACTGCCTCCGTCATCAGAGTATGAAGATTTCTGTCTTCTGGGTTGTCGCGCTATGTAGTCTGGTCGATGTTTACCAATGCTTCAGAGGTCATACTGCCTCCGTCATCAGAGTATGAAGATTTCTGTCTTCTGGGTTGTCGCGCTATGTAGTCTGGTCGATGTTTACCAATGCTTCAGAGGTCATACTGCCTCCGTCATCAGAGTATGAAGATTTCTGTCTTCTGGGTTGTCGCGCTATGTAGTCTGGTCGATGTTTACCAATGCTTCAGAGGTCATACTGCCTCCGTCATCAGAGTATGAAGATTTCTGTCTTCTGGGTTGTCGCGCTATGTAGTCTGGTCGATGTTTACCAATGCTTCAGAGGTCATACTGCCTCCGTCATCAGAGTATGAAGATTTCTGTCTTCTGGGTTGTCGCGCTATGTAGTCTGGTCGATGTTTACCAATGCTTCAGAGGTCATACTGCCTCCGTCATCAGAGTATGAAGATTTCTGTCTTCTGGGTTGTCGCGCTATGTAGTCTGGTCGATGTTTACCAATGCTTCAGAGGTCATACTGCCTCCGTCATCAGAGTATGAAGATTTCTGTCTTCTGGGTTGTCGCGCTATGTAGTCTGGTCGATGTTTACCAATGCTTCAGAGGTCATACTGCCTCCGTCATCAGAGTATGAAGATTTCTGTCTTCTGGGTTGTCGCGCTATGTAGTCTGGTCGATGTTTACCAATGCTTCAGAGGTCATACTGCCTCCGTCATCAGGGCGATGACGGAGGCAGTATGACCTCCGAAACGTTGGTTAACATCGACCCGACTACACAGCGCAACAACCCAGAAGACGGAAATCTCCTTAGTTCCTGTAATTTTCCTCTAAAAACAAACAGCATATGTCTTCGCGCCGTTCCTTTATCGTGATTAATTTTTGTGTTGCAAGAATTTCTGTTGTCGGGATTCGAATTCAGGACAAATTTCCAGTATTCTAACCATTTTAAAATCTGTTCCTGGTTTCAAGGAATAAGCATGCTACATTTGGTGCAAATCGGATTATCGTTTCTCACATTGTAAAAAACACGTCCAGACACGTACATAATTTCAATTTATATCTGAGATAAGGCTATTTGTGCTGTGAGGTATTGTAGTTTGCTGTCATATTCAAAATATTGAGAAACACTGATGTAAATAATTGCGGGAGGGAATAAGTTCCGGTAAGTACAGTGATTTTTCTTCCTTGATCAGTTCAAGATCGCCAAGAATGACTTTATAGATTTAAGTTAATAGACGATTCTTTATGCATCCATGTGTTGCATGCTTTTATATATGTTAGAGACTTCAGACTTTGTCTATTTCCTTCGTTGGGGGCACTTCGTTTTACTGCCTTTCAGTCTGTTAAAATGAAATTCCGAATGGAAGTATATAAATAATCCGAAGGAAGCAGCTATACAGAAATTGAATCCTTTCAATTCTCATCATATATTTTCTTCAGAAAGAATTGTATTTCAGACATTTTTGTTGTATGGTGCTCGATATTCGTTGTGGTTTACAAAAATCACCCGCTTTGTAAACATCTTTTACTTTAAGAAATTAATTTCCTTAGGGTTTGTTATGATATCAGGTACATTAGTATTCAACTTTAGAAATAAAATCCAGAAGTCCAACTTCGCACTCTGGGTACAGCAGCTGACAGCTGCCGGAAACATCCGTTCCGAGCCGTTCTGCCGCGTAATATTCTCTGTC